TTGTTGGTTACTTGAAGACACGGACGTCACTCATTCTACTTCCACTATCATAAGCTGCGATAATCAAAGTGTATCCAAATTGCTCACAATGATGTATTTTATGAACGCACAAAACACATTGAGATTGATTATCACTTTATGCGTCATCATCTCACCCGTGTGACTATTGGACTATTATCAGTTTCTTCAACCGATCAAACTGCTGATATCTTCACTAAAACACATCATCCTGGACGCCTTCAGGATTTAGTTTCCAAACTCAAGTTGGTCTCCATTTTACCTCCTTGAGTTTGAGGAGGGCTGTTAATGTATACATATATACACAATGTACATGTTAGTTAGTCCATGCTAGTTAGTCCCACATTGATTAGAAAGTAAAACATTCCTATCAAGTTAAACTATAAATATGATGCATCTCTTGTAAACAAATCACACTATTCAATACAATTCTATTCTCTTTGTATTGTCTTATTTTCTTTTTTAAATTCAACTACATCTATAAGCTAGAATGTCTAACATTTTCTGGAAAAGTAGCTTAATTCTAATAAACTATTAATGGCTCAAGTCTGCCACAAACTTCACTTGCTGTAGCAGTTGCAGCTAGTTACTCAAATTTGTTACTCAAAGACCTGTTCCAGTTGAGCTCTGATATAAGACTGAGGACTTGCGTAGAGAACTCGATGTTAGTTTGATGCCCTCTAATAGTAAGTATATTGTACCAACATTATGAATTAACGTTCTATTATTCGCGTGTTAGAATTTACGACAGTAATCTAAGGTTCCNTTATTTGTGTGTTAGAATTTGCGACAATAATATAAGGTTCCATGATCATATTAAATATTTCTATTTGTATACTCATTGGTTTGGGTATAGTGAGACACAATTCGTTATACGATCAAAGATATGTCGTTCACAATCGGTACATGAGGTTGGACACTTTATGTTGATAAGATTGCACTGTTCTTGTTGAGATTTGTCTAGATTTGGGAATAAGAACAATAACAGTGTTTTGAAGCACGTTGAACATGACCGCGTGGATGACTTATTTGTGATCGCTCGAAATGAGACGCCACTCGATTATCGAACAAGTCACTTAAATCCTGAGCAAGTAATGTACATTTAATTTCTAGTTCATGTTCTTTGAGGTACCAATGAGCGAAGTCTTAAATTAGAAGATAAATCTCAGTACTTTGGGAATCTGGGTGAAGCAGTTAGAGATCATATACATGCAATAGTGGAATCCATTGATCATCATGATGAGATGATCGTCACTCTAAGATATTTCTAAAGGGAATTGAACCTGAACTCAGTAGTCCGACGATGAGGTCGTTGGACTTGGTGTTGTGATGTGATCACAACGAATTCGCATTATGAAATGGGACTTGGAGGGAAATACATGTTGAAGGGCAAAACATCCATTTTTGTCGACTTCAGCATATTGACGGTCAAATGAGGCTTAACTTGTGGAACGGTGGTCGGAGGATATTATTATCGAATCATAATTGGCTTTCATAGCTTTCACTCGACTCAAGAGGGCAATCCCCTTTTTTTGGGTAGAGTAAGCCGAGATTAATATATATATCTCAATTGGTCAAGTGTTGACCCAATTAGAAATATCTATTGGAGATTGAGTCTTGTGAGTCCGGTTAGGTCTCTCTTTTGGCTCCAATAAAGGTGTGTGACTTAATTGACCTACTACAATAAAGTCCAAGGATATTTGTGCAAATATAAAACTCTAATTGTGTGTTATAAATATGCCCTTTAAGGGCACATTTACCAAGGTTAGGGTTTTAACCATTTTCCATTTTCTCAAAGAAAGGAGAGGCACTTAAGGAGCACATGGGAGAAGATCTAAGGGAGGAAGCATTTGACTAGGCAATTAAAAGCTCTTTCAAGGTTATCATTTCACCCTTTACGTGTTAGGATTTAAATAAAAACATTATATGATCTCAAGGTGATCTAAGATCCACCATACTTTTGAGTTGAATCGTCAAATGAAAATTAATTTCCTTTTTGTGATGATTAAATATCCTTATTCCAACAAAGAGCCATGGTTATAGAAAACCTTGAGTAGGATTAACCTTTTTTTTTAAAATCCAAGTGTAAAATGCATTTTTAGTATGGATGGTGTTAGAATATTTGATTTGACATGTTATTGCTTTATTTATTGCTTTATATATTAAAGTAAATGTTAATGATTGTGCATTATCACTTTTGACCTTAAAATTTTTGTTTCCTATTGTTGTAATTTATTTTTCTTGTTGCACTTTTACATAGAAATTTTGTAAGCCATAAGGCACCAGGGTTTTTGATTTATTTTAATATACATGTATTTTGGAGAAAAAACCCTTTGTATGAAATTTTTGGTCGGAAGAAGATGTAGATGAAGATTTATCAACCTGAAAAACAAGAAAATGGCATGAACCACCACGAGGGGGTGGTAGCAACCACGGGCTGTTGGACGCAGCAGCAGGTTGCTGCTGGTGTCGTCACCGGAGGTGGTGGTGGAAGTGGTGCTATGTGTTTTTTCCTAGGGTTTGTACAATTGGGCCAAATTTTTATTTTTTGGGCTTTTCTTAAAAACTTGGATTAATCCTATTGTATAAGAACTTTCTTGTTTTTTAAGATTGGGATATTGTTAGGTTGATGCCCTCTTATAGTAAGTATATTGTAACGACGTTATGAATTAACGTTCTATTATTCGCGTGTTAGAATTTACGACAATAATCTAAGGTTCCATTATCATATGAAATAACAAATTGTATACTCGACAGTTTGGGTATAGTGAGATACAATTCGTTATATGATCAAAATATGTCGTTCACAATCGGTACATGAAGTTGGAAACTATCATGTAACTGTTAGTTTGATGCCCTCTTATAGTAAGTATATTGTAACGACATTATAAATTAACGTTTTATTATTCATGTGTTATAATTTGCGACAATAATCTAAGTTTCCATGATCATATGAAATAACAAATTGTATACTTGACAGTTTGAGTATAGTGAGACACAATTCGTTATATGATCAAAGATATGTCATTCACAATCGGTGTATGAAGTTGGACGCTTTATGTTGATAAGATTGCATTGTTTTTATTGAGGTTTGTCTAGATTTGGGAATAAGAACAATAACGTGTTTTGAAACACGTTGAATAGGATCGCGTGGATGACTCATTTGTGACCGCTCGAAATGAGACTCCACTCGATTATCGAGCAAGTACCTAAATCCTGAGCAAGCAATGTACATTTAATTGCTAGTTCTAGTTCTTTGAGGTACCAATGCGTAAAGTCTTAAATTAGAAGATCAATCTCGGTACTTTGAGAATCCGGGTGAAGCAGTAAGAGATCATATACATACAATAGTGGAATCCGTTAATCATCATGATAAGACGATCGTCACTTTAAGATATTTTCTAAAGGGAATTGAACCTGAGCTTAGTAGTCCGACGATGAGGTCTTTGGACTTGGTGTTGTGATGTGATCACAACGAATTCGCCTTATGAAATGAGACTTGGATGGAAATACATGTTGAAGGGCAAAACGTCCATTTTTGTCGACTTCAACATATTGACGGTCAAATGAGGGTTGACTTGTGGAACGGTGGTCGGTGGATATTGTTATCGAATCATAATTGGCTTTCATAACTTTACTCGACTCAAGAGTGCAATCCCCTTTTTTTTGGTAGAGTAAGTCGGGATTAATATATATATCTCAATTGGTCAAGAGTTGACCCAATTAGAAATATCTATTTGAGCTTGAGTCTTGTGAGTCCGGTTAGGTCCCTCTTTTGGCTCCAATAAAGGTGTGTGACTCAATTGACCTACTACAATAAAGTCCAAGGATATTTGTGCAAATATAAAACCCTAATTGTGTGTTATAAATATGCCCTTTAAGGGTTTTAATCATTTTCCATTTTTTCAAAGAAAGGAGATGCACCTAATGAGCACATGAGATAAGATCTAAGGAGGAAGCATTTGACTAGGCAATTAAAAGCTCTTTCAAGGTTATCATTACACCCTTTACGTGTTAGGATTTAAACAAAAACTTTATATGATCTCAAAGTGATCTAAGATCCATCATACTTTTGGGTTGAATCGTCAAAGGGAAATTAATTTTCTTTTTGTGATGATTAAATATCCCCATTTCAACACTCGAGGTGGCAAATTTAGGGCCAGTTCAGAATCTTGATCGAGTCATAGATTAGTTTAGTTCGGCACGAAATCACGGAATAGAGCCTTTGCTTCGCTTAGTCAGTTTAATCAGATCCTACTTGTGTAAATATATCCAGTGAATATACAATTTAAGAGCACTGTCCAGTTCAAAGAAAGGAGATGCACCTAAGGAGCACATGGGAGAAGATCTAAGGGAGGAAGCATTTGGTTAGGCAATTAAAAGCTCTTTCAAGCTTATCATTTCACCCTTTACGTGTTAGGATGTAAACAAAAACTTTCTATGATCTCAAGGTGATCTAAGATCCACCATACTTTTGGGTTGAATCGTCAAAGGGAAATTAATTTTCTTTTTGTGATAATTAAATATCCCCATTCCAACACTCGAGGTGGCAAATTTAGGGCCAGTTCAGAATCTTGATCGAGTCATAGATTAGTTTAGTTCGGCACGGAATCACGGAATCGAGCCTTTGCTTCGCTTAGTCAGTTTAATCAGATCCTACTTGTGTAAATATATCCAGTGAATATACAATTTAAGAGCACTGTCCAGTGAATATGAATATTATCCATCCACTTTAATGAGAATTAATCAATGGCAACAAAACTTCATGACAAAATAACTTAAAAGCATAGACAAATTAGAATTTCAAGCTTTTGACATTGCAGTAGTAAATTTACTAGGCCGTATCCCTGAAAAATGGCCTCAACTTACATAGCTTTATCTAGACGCCCAAGTTCTTATACACACATAATATTACTATTCCACACTTTAACACAGCCCGTGTGAGAGCTTACAGAAGCCGATGCAACTCAGTTTATTACTTACTAGAACACGTCCGGATGGAAGTGACGAGGGATTGAATTGCTCTGCTGAGCCTGACGCAATTTCAATGTCAAGGCATAGTTATTCACCTGCAAGATCAGCAATTAAACAAGGACATCCATTAGGCATCTTTTAGTAGGTGTAACTTTAAATCAAGTATCTTTTCTCATATCCTAATTAGAAACTTTTTTCTCAAACATTTTTCTCCCACTCTTCTTTTATATGCCAATAGACGTGGTATTTCAAGGTCAACTTTTCACAGCTTAGTGACATCTAAGGGGACTCCCTAGAAGGAAATTATGATCTTAGGGTTTTGCTACATGTTATGGCACTAACCTCTACAGTTCTCAACCTGTCCTGATACTGAACCACCATCTGCTTCAATTGCTGGACCTCTTGGCTCCTCTCATCATACTCCTTTTGGCGTTCATGCTGGATCGCTACAGCTCGTTTGAGGATGGCATTGTCGCAGAGAAGCACCTCGATTTGTTCCTTCAGCATCACATTTTCCTGAATACACAGAAAAACTATTTGAAACCTAAATAACAGAGCATGCGAGTCTTCATATCGTAAGAAAAACAACAATTTGTATTTAGAGAAGAACTAAAAAGTATCCTAGCAAAAGCAAGAGCCAAGCCATGGCTTCTTCTGACCAGTTATACTCTTAGCACAATAATTCAAAACAATCAGCCAGCCAAGAGGGTACAATCAAACTTTATCTGGAACATTCAGAAAGACATTGTTCCTTATAAAGGGAATGGTAATGATTTTTTTTTTATCATCAACACTATTTCCACCCTTCAGCCTTTTAACATGTACTATCAAACTACATATGTGATGTAAGAATGACCTTGTGAAAGCTATGAGCTGCCTCTGCCCGAGCACCAATGGATTTCTCCAAACTTTCTAATACTCTTCTTGTGCGGGATCTAGCATCATCTATGCTAGTGGCACTCATCATCTCCCTCACAAACAAGTCCACCCATTCTGTACCATCTTCTGGCAGGTTGTTTTGGAAGTGAGGCTGTTCCAAGGGAACTGCCTCCCCACCAGTTGGTATTGCACCTGTCAATTTTGTATTATCAAAAGATTCACATGTTTTTATAAATTTTCAAAGCGTAGCAACCATTTAAGTGCCTCGACAACAAAAATTCGAGTTGTTGACAATAAGCAGAGTACCCAACACACCAGTAACTAATGGAAGTCTTTGCTATTTTATTTCACTTAACCTCTGAATAAGACTCATTTTCCAGCAAACATCAACTACATAATAGAGATAATCAATTAACCATATATTTTCTCACCAAGTGTCATGATAATTGGAAAGGTGAAATCATTATAACATGCCAAATCACAAAACTCGCATTGTAAATTGTTTCCATAGAGGTGCTACTGCTACTCTAGTCATGAATATCCAATACCAAATGGTAAATCTTATTTTTACTCTGTCCCCCACGCGTCGCACTCTGTTACATAGCCCATCTGAGTATGTTGATAATCTAGGGCAGGAATACTTATTTAAGATTTAAAACTAATCTAGTCATTCCTTTTGGAATGATTGCCATCTTCACTTTTAATATTAAGGTTACTTGGAAGGAACTTTCGTGCCTCTGAACCCTTTATAAAATGGTTATCCCACTCAATACTATAATTTGCACCATGTGGATCAAATGTCCGTATGAGATTAAACATGCATTTGAACAGCTTTTTAGTTACAAAGCAATGAATACACGTGATGTTTTAAGATTAAGAATTACGAACACAGTAATAATTAATCATACATAATAAATACGTGCAAAGGCATATATTAAATATAAGAGATTCAAAAGTTTTACATAAGTAGTATATAAGTAAAATAGTCTAGAAGGAAAAAAATGCAATGTAAAATTAAGCATGCAGCATAGAACTCTAAAAAATCAAGCAAGCTACTCCTTGCAATTTAAGCACATACCTTTCTCCATATGCACATTTGTTTCTGCAGTGGAGGAGGAGCTGTTAAGGCACTTAATAGCAGAATCCAAATCATTGCTACATTCTTCCAAAGCTTTCTCAAGAAGCTAAAATTTTATCATAAAGACTATTAATTATCCGAACATCTATCAGAGCCCTAAAGTGATGAAGAAATTGAAAAGGTCGAAACCCCAGTTTCAACAAATTAAAATGTGAGTTATTAACCCATATAAGGATTACAAATCAAACAAAAAATGACTGATGATCTTCTAACTTTTTTAAGTTTGATTCAGAAAGTTACAAAGATATAGACATGTAATGAAAGCCCAATGTAAAAGACAATGCTAGCTAATAATTCTAGGGGTGAGCGCGGGTCGGTCTGTTCGGTTTTTTTCGGTTCCAGAAATTTTCGGGTATTTAGTAAATGGAACCGTCGGTTCCAAATATAATTTTGGAACTATTCGGTTTCAGTTTCGGTTCGGTTCGATTCTGTTCGGTTCCGTCCGGTTCCATACTATAATTAAATTTTTTAACATTTAAAATAATGCTACATAAATACACCTGAAAGTAGATACTAATATTAATAACAAAAAGTAGATACAAATATCAAGTTCAATCTTAACTTTTACAAATTAACGTAATCTAATTTAATAACATATCAATAATAAGTTGTCAACTATAAATACCAAAAAGTAAATATTACTAATAAAATTTCGATGATTCATATCAATAATTCATTTGCTTCAAACCTTCAAGTCTACATAAAAATGAAATATAAATTAGAAGTCATAAAGATAAAATATTTTAAAGTATTGATAATACTTACCAATTATTTAATGTAATCATCAGTTACTTGACTTTTCATACTAACTACTAAGAATATATACAAGAAAAAATTGAAAAAACACAACTAACAAACATAAATAAACTCTAAATTGTTCAACTAATAACATTTAATAAGAAAAAATTATTAATTTGTTTAGAAAAAATAAAAGAAATTGATTTATCTAATATCAAAAAAAATTTCAGTTCTTATTCGGTTCTTCGGTTCTGGGTCTAGAACTGAGAATTGAACCAAACCATTCGGTTCTCGATTCGGATACCCGTTCGGGTATTTCATTTTAAAAAACCCGCTCGATTCGGTTCGGTTCGGTTCGGATATTTTGCCCAGCCCTAAATAATTCACGTGCAACTACATTTAACAAGATAGAGCATATCAGCTGCTGCTCACTAGAGATAGGAACTCAAAATATGATATCATTGAGTTTATGCCTTCTGATAATTCCTAATGCTGTAACTTTTTATATTCCAGATAATGCATTATTCATTGTCACGACATTTAAGACAACTAAACACCAAAGAAACAATAGAGGGGTGTCCATAATAAAATCATTGAAAATTAAGCAATTTGTACTTCAAAAAACAAAACAAAAATCCTTTAAACCAATAACTAACACACAAAAATTATGTGAATTCATATCCCTCAGAAAGAAAACTCAAAATATCTGGTCAATCCGAACTATAACATACACGAGAAAATGTTTTTATGACATATCGAGAAAATTTAAACTTAGCACGTTAACATGAACTATAACCCTAATCCCGAGTTTAAAAATCCCATTAATCAAAATCGACCATTTCTTTGAAAAATTGAATCAATTCATAAGAATCAGATAACATCAGACTCCATTAGCCACTAAAACCCTAAAATAGAATCGAATTCCATATAAAATACTTCAAAAACACCACCTGACTGTCCATATCAGGAAATAAGACCTTCAATTGATCTATGGGAGTCAGCGGCGGCGAGTAGGAAGAGCACCGAATTTTCTTATAAACCGGCGGCGATGCTGACACTGACGCCGGTGATGATGCTGATGAATCTATATCTTCAAAGAAAGATCTCTTCCCACACTCTAGTGCAGACATTATCATTCTATATAAGGTTAAATTAATTTCGAATCAATTGAATTAATCAAATCCCTACTTCCAGCTCTTCCAGCTTTTTTTTTTTGTATCGGAATTAGGGATTAGGGTCAGTATTTTGAAGTCGAGAAGTATTTCTCTCTGCTGTCTACTGGTTTGCTTCCGGGTTTTGGGTTATCAATCATGCTACGAGTACCTTGTGGTTTAGATCACAGTCTACATTCTTTAACACGAGCACCATCATTTCCCATAATGTAAAGCAAAAGGTACATTTAGGGGTCCGCCTAACTGGCGAATTTCAATTTTATATTTGATAGAAAATAAAAACTCATCTAACTCATAAGAATTTATTTTTCATGAAAACAAAGAAAATATAACTTAAATTTGTTGTACTTTGAAATTCGATTTTCATTTCTACGTTACAATCAAATTGCCAAAATAGAATTTATTTTCTTCGAATGTTACATTTTCCATGAAATTCGTTGCAATCAAATAGGGCTAGAAATTGCCAAAAAACCCTCCACGAATGGGGTGAAAAAAAACCGCCCCTACAGGTTGGCGTGAAGAAATTAAAAAAAAAAAAAATTGTTTTGGACATTATTTTAAATATTTTTTGTTTTGAGTGCTTGCTTTGGATATTGATTTAGTTAGTTTGAACATTATTTACTTTGAATTTTAACATTTTGAATTTGTATTTTAACTGAAAATTAAAACAAAAAAGGGGCAGGAAACGGGGCAAGCCCCTGCCCCGCCCCGTCTAATGATCCCCGCCCCGAACCCTCTCCGTTGCCATCTCTAAGTAGGTCCTTAGCATTTTCCAGTAGGTTATAGTAACAAATAACAATTGACAACATTTATATTGATGTAACTTCCACATGCCTGTGAGCGTGTAGATCAAAGAGATCCTCAAACCTGAGCTTTTGAAGCACCATCATTTCCTATAATGTAAAACAAAAGGTAAATATAGCATTTTACATTGGGTTATAGTAACAAATAACAGTTGACGACATTTATATTGATTTAACATCCATGCGCCTAAGAGCGCGTGGATCAAAGAGATCCTCAAACCCGAGCTTTTGAAAATTTCAAATCGAACATTTATTTTATCCTCGTTATTTTTAGAACAAAGTTTTTTTCTTTTCTTTTCAAATATACATTATTCAATAGAATAATATTATACATAAATTCAAAACTTTGTTTCTTATTTTTTAACAACATATTATCTATCAATCTACTATATTAAAATGCATTTTTAGTAAAAAAAAAAAAAAATGGGGCTCAAACAGGCGCTGAAGAAATTACACACATTTTTTTAACGTCTCATTCATTAAAAATAATACTATTTATAGATAGCGATTATAAATAGTCATCTTATGTGATATCTTGTTATTTGATCACATAGGATACTATTGACAGTCGCTTACTATTAATAACATTACTCTTTCAATAATCAGGTATAATGATTTGGATAATGTTTGTTGTACATAATTTATGTACATAAAGGGGTACATAATGTGATGTGGGAATTACTCGATAGTTGATGTGAAAGTGTGATATTTGAATTAAATAGTCATCTTATGTGATATCTTGTTATTTGATCACTTAGGATACTATTGATAGTCGCTTACTATTACTAACATTACTCTTTCAATAATCAGGTATAAAGATTTGGATAATGCTTGTTGTACATAATTTATGTACATAAAGGGGTACATAATGTGATGTGGCAATCACCCGGTAGTTGATGTGAAAGTGTGAGATTTGAATTAAAGGTTGGATATGTGCCACATGTAATTATATGAATTATTATGTGAAAATTTATGTACTAGTAGCAAAGTCCTAAAGATTTTTATTTCTAAAATCAAGTACATCACATCGCACTCTCAACTCACCCCATCCCCACCTTCACCACTCCTATACCATGCACATACAAAATTGTGACCCACTTTCTCTACCGTCTCTATATTTGTTCTTTCTCTATCTATCGCTCACTCTAAGGTCGCCATCCATCAACACCGATCATATCCCTACCATGCCCATGCCACGTACAAACAAAATTGTGACCCATTCTCTCTACCGTCTCTCTATCTTTTCACTTTCTCTATCTATCGCTCAATCTTTGTCACCAACCACCAACTTCGGCCACCATTCGAGAAATCAGCCACTGCCTTTCACAATCAGTAGTGAATCGACATACAAGATCGGTACTCACTGTCTCATTTGCATCGTCGTAACTGCCATCATTGCTAGGTGATTCATTTTGCTCGAAGCACCGTAGCTAGATTCTTTCTTTTGTACCTCACTCAAAGTGCCCTTCAGTTTGCAGTATCACTGCAGTATCAAGGTCTTCAATCTGCCACCTCAGGTTTGTCGAATGGATACAAATCTAGTGGTGAGTTAGGGATTCGAGGTAGCGATCCTCGAATGGCTTCAATTAGACGATTGTCGATAGTTATACATGAGGTACAAAAGAAGGAGATGATGCCGATGTGATATTGTGGTGGTGCTGTAGTGGTTGTAGTGTGGTGGAGATGGAGGCGGAGGTGATGGTGGTTTGAGAAGGTGGTGGTGATGACGCTGTATCTCTGATTGTGTATGTATCCGTGATGGGGTGATAGTGGCGAGTTGGAGGTGGAGGTGAGGTAGAAGTGGTGGTGGTAAGGTGGCAGTGTTGTTTGGGTGGTAGAGTGGAGTTGAGTGGGATAGGATGATGAACGTTTGTGACAAATTATTTGAATAATTATGATCAATAAAATGGATAATTTGGAACTAATAAATAATATACGATCTAAACAAATATGTGATTCACGATTAAACTTCTAATTGTGACCCACAATTTGTGTCATTGTAAATATCACCTTATGCGATTTGTGACTAGTACATGATTATGACCAGTACGTGACGTCAAGGACGAATTCAGACTTTTTGTATTATGGGGTCAAAAATTAAAATGCATTTTTAAAAATAACATAACATTAATAAATGAATAACATATTTCAATTTTCAAAAAAAAAAAAAATCCAAATTAAATTCATCATAAACAACAATTAATTTTAGATATAATTCTCAATCATCAAGTCGAAGAAAGCCATTATTTACTTGGAATTGAGAATGAAGGCTAAACTTGAAATTGACAATAATTTCTTTTTGAAAAACACAATTCCCTGAAATAAACATATTCAAATTGTGAATTTCATAAATGATACATCATCAAATTCTTTACAAAATATTTCAAATTGGAAGTTGAAATTAAAGAATTCTCTAGAGTAAATTAATGCACTATTTGCATCCAGGGTTTTTTTAAAAGGATGGAAGTTAAAGTTTTTTTTAACCACTTGAGCGGAATCAAACGTGCTATTGTTGACCTATGGTTGACTTCTCGTTTTGATTATCACAAACAAATTATGTTTATTACTAACAAATTGATCTTAAGTGTCCATAGTAATTATTGCACACGAAATACTTGATAGCACAAAGTTCGAAGCCAAGTAATTTACATACAATATGCCAATATGGAAACAAAATCAATCAAGGCAATGAAGTATGTTATTACAAAAACTCACAAAAAGATGCCTCAACAAAATTCGAGACAAAAATCAAAGTACCGTCAAGAAGCGCAAGCCAAGATATTCAAAACAAAGTATTTAGACTTTTCATATGTAAAGGTAAAACATTTCAATACGTGGTAATAAATCGTGACGACCTCAAAGTTTTGAATTTACGATCGAAAAATCACGACAAATGTTTTACTCAAGAATTATGTTTTCAAAGGTCAAAACATGTATAACATATACCTTGAAAAATATTTCAAAACGTCCTTATAATACCTACATTTGATAAAAACAAGAAACGAGGACGTTCTGAGCCAAAACTGGTATACCGAACATCCGATATCCCAGATTTTGGCTCCAACGGTCATTTTTCTAACATTCAAATTTTCTGACAAAAAATAACGGATATTTGACCGTCCGGTAGAGTGCGTCCGGTAAGACATATTTTTTGACTGTTTGTTTGCTATAAATACCTCACTATTCCTTCACATACACTAACTATTCTTGAGCATTAAAGTGAGACTTTTATTGATCATTACTACCCTATTCTCCATCTTTAAGACGATCACCTCTTGAAAAACTTTTAAGTGATTAACTTTGCAAAAATCTTTAGTTCTTCAAGAAGTTTTCTATATCAACACTTTGAGCTATATTCATTACCATCTATTGAAGTGTTTGCCTCTTCTCTTCTTGTTATCAATCTTGGTTCTACCATTTAATAAGAAGAGAAGATTTCACTTGTAAATTCATTTTGAATTGTGGGTCGAGTTGAGGTCCCAGAAAAGCTCAACATTGTAAAAGGGACGGTGCCCATTGGTTGTAAGTCACCGAAAGCGTTGTAAAGGGTTGGATTGCACCACAAGTCAATCAACATAGTGAAAAAGGCCTTGCGGTAATGGAGAGCTTGGTAACGGGGGATGTAGATCATTGGGTTTGATCGAACCTCCATAACATATCGTTTGCACTCTCTAGCTCTTTATTTGACGTTTTACTTTGTGCAAGCCTATATCATACCATCTACGTGGTTATTTTCATTTAGTTTATTTCCTTATTATTTGTGTTATATTGTTTAAAATTTTGTAGTAGTTAATGAAAAAGTTTTAAAAACCAATTCACCCCCCTCTTGGTTAACCCATCTTGGGTTCGTACTCACTTTTTTAAGATTTCACAATCTTGAGTTATGGCTAACATCGGTTTTCAAAATCTCGAGGGACATTCTACCAACCGACCCTCCCTTCTTTGATGGCACACATTATAATTATTGGAAAACTAGAATGATGATTTATGTTCAATCTATTGATTACAATATTTGGGAAATTATTGAATATGGTCCTGATGTGACTATAAAGACTATTAAAATTGATGGCAAACCCAATCAATGTATTCCCAAGTCAAGAGA